CTGACTCGACGGTACAGAAAAACAGTAAATGAAATAGGAATCATTCTCTTCAGTTTGTGGATGAGGAAACTGAGGGTAAGTGTCAGTACACTGAGACGTTACATTTCTAACTCAGAAATTCTATTCTGAAACTCTAGTCTGTCCTGGAACCATCCTAACACTGTGGTTGTTGCATGCCATTCTGGGCATTTCAGCCCATAGAGACGACATATGACAAAGCAGACCTGCCCGTGGCGGCTTTTCTAGTTGGGCCCTTAACTGAAGGAGATCTTCTAGGTCTTTCTACTGTGGAGGTGGTGGGTGGGTTTGAACTATATGCCTGCCTGCCTTTAAACAGCTGAGTGTTTAACCACTGCAGTGTAAGGGATCCTTGGTTCTACACAATGTCAGTGTAAATTTCTTCCTGTGTGCCTTTAGCTAAATCTCTAAATTTACTGATCTCATTTTTAAATGATGATTAAAATGCTCTATGTGAGATTGTATAACAATGAAAGAATTTTACTTTTGAAAGAGAAGAACAAACTGAAGGTGGGGGGAGGTTGGGCAAGGAGAAAAGTGTAACAATGAATGAATGGAAATCCAAAGTCTTTGTAAACTTTCATTAAAATTAATTTTAAAACCCCCCCAAACTCCAACCCTCTATGCAGGTTACTAGCATGATAGCAAGTGCATTATTATCAGAAAAAAGAATCTAAATTGAATAAAAGAATAAATTTTTTTTTTAAATTCTGAACACAAAAACATCAGCAAATGACTAGGCAGACATAACTTCTAGTATAACCTCAATTGACTAGTTTGTACCAAAAAAACGATTTCTAAGTTGGTTCACAAAATAAAATTTCATATAACAAATTAAATTCTTGTTCCAAAATATTCTTGTCCGTGGCTTAGCGTTTGGTATAACTGTGTTTAATCATGCACTTCACAGCTCTGTCTCCTGCAAGCCCTGCTTTTAATGCGATGTTCTCAATCAAGGACTGGAGAGAAGCCAGTCTTCCTATGCTCAGAGAAAGGAATTTGGGGTGCAACTTGGTTGTATATAATCACATTTTGTCATTTTGGAAAACTAAATTCACATTTGGCACACACCGCAGGTTGCTAATGAGTCCTTACCAATTCTGATGCCAACGTTTTCATATAGTTTTTCAAACTGGCCTAGTGACAAGGAGCTGCACTGCCAACCCGAAGGCACGTGGTTGGAATCCCCCACCTGAAGGATGGACAACCTCCTTCCATGCTATTATACTGCCTTTGAGAACCCAGCGGAGGCTCAGCTATGAGTTGTTTCTATCTTGACAGTATACAACGACATCAGCAGATTAAACAAGTATGGTACAGGGAGAACACCCTGGTAAACGCCTTTCCTAATTTAACCTACACGGAATATCCTTGTTCTGTTCAAAGCACTATTTATTGCCTCATGGATGGGTTCCACATGATCACAGAAAGTGTTCCACAATGCCCACTCTTGGCAGTGTTGTCCATCATGTCATTATCCTCACAGTTGAACTCCCGGTTACAGTAAAACACAGAGAAACAACTTTCTGGTAATCTCAACCTTCAGCCAATGTCCATCTGCTCCCTTCAGCCAGTGTCCATCTGACATCGGCAATGGCGTCCCTTCTTGAATGTCCTCTACTGACTCAGGCTTGAATTTCTGGCAGTTTCCTGCCCATGTAATACCATAACCATTTGCAAATTGTCTTCAGAAAATTTTACTTGCATGCGGTATTGACAGTGTTCAATAATCTTGGCATTTTGTTGCCTTACTTCCTTTGGGATGGACACTTGTATGGATCTCTTCCAACTAGTTCGTATCCTGAAACAGATGACTGAGCACTTCTATCACCGTATTCAACGAGTGAAACATTTGAATTGGTAATTCAATTCAGTTCAGTTCAATTCAATTCAATTCGTTTTTAGTCAATCCTGTGGCCTTGTTTTTAGCCAATGACTTCAGTGCAGCGTGGACTTTTTTGTTTGTTTGTTTGTTTTTATGTACCATACATTCTTTACTGGGCTATCTCCTGAAACAAGGAGGTCTGGCAGTTTAGTGGTAAGAGGTTGTGCTGTCAACGTATAGGTGCACAGTTCAAGTTCACCTGCTGTTTTGCAGGAGGAAGGTGAGCACTGTCCTTCTGTGCAAGGTCCTGCCCCTGAAAACCTGCTGGAGGATCAGCTACGGGTCAGTCCAATGTGACTGCAGCCAACAACTGCCTCTCGAAATGGCTGGATGCCGAGCCGTTCTCTGTGGTGCAGGGCTGTCCCCTCCTCCTCTTCCTCCCTCATCCTTCCGGCTTAGTGTCTATGAAGCCCTTCAATACTGAAACTTGGGGTTTAATTTCTTCTTCTTCAATTCTTCTAGCTTGAAAAGTGCCAAGTCTCTACTTGCCTTTTAGCTTTCAGGTTTTGCATATTTCATGCTCCTACTCCATCTTCCTTAACTCGCCACTGGCATCTTCCTGTCAGCTCTTTTCTGTTCTTCCAATTGCCTCTGTTGCTCTAAGTGGAAAGAAAGTTTCACCATCTGTTTTGAGAACTTTGATCTCGTCTTGCTTTTCTTTTTAATGATCTTTTCTTTATGTGCTCATGTTATTGACGTTAACCTACAACTTGTCTGGTCTTCAGTCATTAATGAAGATTTGTCACTAATTACTTCAAGTGTATCCTCAAGATGCTCTCTAATCAGGCATACTCATTGGACTCAAGGTTGCGCTTGGGTTCTCACAACCTTTTTATTTTCCATTATCTTCACCTTCCTCCTCATTGGGCAGATGGTGCCCAGGAGATCGTCATGAGCACACACAGAATCTGCCTCGCCAAAATTTGCTCCTTTGTTTCTCTGCTACGTGCCATCTAGTTGAGTACAACTCATAGCGACTCTATGAGTAACAGACCTGAACTTTATTATATGTTAATAACATTGTTTTAAGTGGTTAAAACTCTATGCTGTTGCGGATTGCCTTTGAGTCACGCACGACTCATAGCGACCCTATGAACAAAAGGCCCGAAGCCCCTCTACAACTGTTGACATTTATTTATAGGTTAGGAGCAAAGATGCTGGTAACCAGATGCATGGTAAGAGTTTCTGTTGTTTGTGATGTACCTGTGAGTCGGAACCAATTCAGAGCAGACCCTCTCGTGGGTTTTATGAGGCTGTAAATCACAGGGGAGGAGACTGTCCATCTTTCTCCCAAGGAGCAGCCGGTGGATTCTGCCTGCCTTGTGGTTGGCAGCACGACTCTTATGCCAACTGGGCCACTAGAGCTCCCTGGAAGCCTTTAGTATCCAAAATATGTGAGGACTCTGGTGGCTTATTGGTAAGGAATTGTGCTGTTAACCCAAAGGTATGTGGTGTGATTCCACCAGCTGCTCTGCAGGAAAAAGAAAATCTGTTTCCTCCCCTGAGATTTACTGCCCCTGAAAACTCAAGGTGGGGGTTCACCTATGCATGGCACTACTGCTTAAAAGCAAAAAGATAAACAACCCCACAAATACAGCCAAAGGCCTTGAACTGATATTACCATAAAATGATATATCAGTGGTCAATATATATAAAGCTGTTCAATCATTAGTCCTCAGGAAAATCAAATCCAAACCACAGTGATACACCACTTCATACATACTGTTATCACAAAAAGGAAAAACAAGAAATTCTAGTGAAGGTGTGGAGGAATTAAGATCCTCGTATAGTGCGAGTGGCAACGTGAAATATTCTGGTCACTGTAGGGAACAGATTACCATTCCTCAGAAATGTCAGCCACAGAAATTACCACAGGAATCAGCAATTTTTACTCCTAAGTATACACCCAAATGGAAATGCATTTCAGAAGAAACTCTATACCAACATTCATAACAAAATTATGATAACCAAAACAGACACAAAACTTAAGTGTCTGTCCATGAATGAACAGATTGACAAAATGTGGTAAAACCGACAGTCAGTATTACTGAGCCAAAAAGGGGGATGGAATTCAGATACATAAAGATGAAGTTCTGATACATCTGATAGATGAACTGTGACAAGACACTGAGTCACCAAGTCTGGCCCAGAGCCCTACACTTCTGGAGGGACACTGGGAGAAATGAGGGGATACTGTGAAGGGTCACTCTTGGAAAGGGATATCATGCCTGGAAATGTGGAGGGTCAGTGAAAGAGAGGAAAATGTCCAAGGAGATGGATTAGCATCTTAGCCATTAACTGTAACAATGGACTCCAGTGTGTCAGAGCTGAGGAGGACGGCACAGGAGAGGACAGGGGGTCACGTCAGCTGTCACACGGTCACTATGAGTCACAGCCAACTCGATGGCACCTAACAGCAACAAGACCTTTTGGTGATGATAGGAGTTATAAGACTATTACTTAGAGAGCAATTAATACCACTGTAATTAAGAAGAATTTAAAATGCTTAAAGTAACAAATTATTCATTTTTATCACCTCAGCAAAATAAAAAAAAAAATATTTAGTATAAGAAAAGAAAACCATTATATTTTGGTTTATCATTCCCATGTTACTAAAATACTGAATATTCATTTCAGTTACTTGCTGTGTGCCTGGAAGTTAGACACTACATTAGGCTAACAGAAAAATCACCAATGTCTCTGAGTTGTGATGCTGAAAAGGGCTTTTATAATGAAATGGACTTCTATAAGAATAAACAAAAAGGTCTTGACAAAGTTCAATCAGGTGCTCTTTAGAGACAAGGATGGTGAAACTGTCTCTCATACTTTGGGCATGTTGTTGGAAGGGGGCCAACCTTGGAGAAAGAGATCCTTCTGCGAAAGGTGGAGGGGTCAGTGAAAGAAAGGAACATGAGCCTCGACCGGATGGCCTGACACGGTGACTGTATAAACAGGCTCAAGAACATCAGAGACGATGAGGATGGAACAGGAGGAGGCGAGGTTCAGATTCACAATTCATAGGGTCACATGAGTCACAGCCTTCTCAAGAGTGCCTAAGACCAACACAGCAGGCGAGAATAGCTACAGCAAAGAATACCTTCCATTCTCCTGCACAGTCCTATCCCCCCTCTTCCAGAGGGTGTGGGCTCTGGGGGAGGCGCTGGGTCTGCACTCCAGGGTGACCAGGCTGCCCACCTGCACCTGCACCAACTTCTTCATTGGATTCTTCGCAAAATCTGGAGCAGAAGCTGAGGAGACAGATGAAGAGGTCCCATTTAAATGCATGTATTTAATTAAAATTTTTATCTCCCGGCAAATTTAAAGTCTGGACTTTGGCTCCATTTTTATAGTATTCCGAGCCCCGAAAATGTCAGCAATGACCTGACATAAGATTTACTGCACGCCAAGCAGGACTTCAGTGTCGGAAGAGTAATTCATGCAATTATGTTTCCTGGCAAGCTCTAAATCTTGAGACAATTATATTTTACAGGATTGTCAAAGTATTTCCCTGATGTTTTAAACTAGATAAGCCATTAATTTGTTAGTAAAACAGTTCTCAACAAGTTTTTAAAAGTCCGTTGTATGCAGGCAGGAAGAAGGTGACCCTGTCATTGTGACCTTGACACAGTGCCAAGTGCACTTTAGTGTATTGGTGTTAGCTGTCACCAAGTCAAGTACGACCCATAGTGACCTATGAACAACAGATCTGAACCCCGTTCTAGCCTGTACCATCCTCACACTTTCTGACACATTAGAGCCCACTGCAGCAGTCACTGTGTCGATCCACCTGGTTGAGGGTCTTATTCTCCTTCCCCAACCTGCTACCTTTCTGAGCATCATGTCCCTCTCCAAGGAATAACCCCTCCTAGCAATATGCTAGAAGTATATGAAGTGAAGTCTCATCATCTTTGCCTCCAAAGAGCACTCTGGGGGCCTCTTCTCCAGGAGACATTTGTTTGTTCTTTTGGCCGTCTATGGGATGTTCAACACTCTTCTCCAACACCACAACTCAAAGGGTCAATTCTTCTGTCATCCTTATTCATTATCCAGCTCTCAGTTGCATAGCCAGTGATTGGAAAGACCATGGGTTCAATTAGACACACCTTAGTTCTCAAGCTGACATTATTTATTATTCCTCAGTAATTTGGAGAGGTCCCTAACTGCAGACTTCCCTAGTGAAGGAGCATGTTTCATTCAATAGGTGTTCAATGTTTTCACAGTGTAATTTGAGTATTGAATCAATATTAATTTTTTGTTAAAAAGTAAAAAAAAATATAAAACGTTAATACAGTTAAATTTAACTTTCAAGTTAACCCTCCAGAAGGTCCTCTATGATTCAGTTCCAACCTAATGGTAATGAGTTATGTGACTGTGTCAGAGTGGACACACACAGATTTACATCTGGGTCTATGTAATGGAGCTCTGATGACCTGGTGAGTAAGGAGCCGTGCTGTCAACCCCAAGGCAGGTGGTTCGAATCCACCAGCTGCTCCACAGGAGGAAGATGGGCAATCTTCACCTGTGCTGCTTACAAATATTAAGTATAAATACACACCTTTCTATTTATATGTTCATACACATATACCTTGGCTATAATATGGCTTGATTAGAAGTCCTTAGTGACTGTTATGTAATACTGTAGATATTACTAGATACAAGAATTAGGTGAAAAGTAAGTAACATCTTTCTGGTAACAATGGAAGTGTTAAAAAAGAATAACAACAAAGTAGCTGAGAAATGCAACCTTACCGACAACCCTGAGTTCAGCACTGGAGTAGACAAGACCGTGTTTGTTCTCAGCTACGCACTGGAACATGCCAGAATCAGTTACGTTCAGGTCTGATATGGTGAGGGCACCGTTTTCAATCTGTATTCGCTCCTGGGTGATAACAAGAACATCCTGAGAATAGCTTGATAAATCAGCTTAGAAGGAAAATAAACACCATTGACTGTTATTTCAATCATGCATAAATCATCTGTGTTTTCCTCAATCTAACCTGAAATTTAACCTTTTCTCATTGCAACTGTGAGGGATTGATTTACCTCACAGCCACACACATTGACAATACTAATAAATATCCTTCCACCTGCATGTAAATCTGTCAAGTAAATAACAATGCTACAAGTAAAACACTGCCAAATCATCAGCCAAAAAAAAAAGCCATGCAATTGATTTCTTTCTCAGCATTTAAGTAGGTTTTTACCATTTTTTTTTAAAAAACAAAACCAAAAAAAAAAACAACATGCACATTCCATATATTACAAATTCTGTGCATTGAAAAAATATCTTAGAAACCCAAACATTTAAATAATTTAAAAGGTTACATGTAGAAATCTGAGGGAACTTAATTGAGTTAGTACACAATTTTTAAGCAAATTACATGGTTATAGAAGGAAAGTGATGGGGAAAATGAGGACCTAATAGGTAGGGAGCTCTGTGGCCCAGTGGTGAGAAGCTGTGCTGTGATTCCAAAGGCACACAGTTTGAATCCCAAAATTACTCTGGGGAGAAGGACGGGCAGTCTCCTCCTGGGCAGTTCTGATTAGACGGCACAAACAACAAGTAATAGGCATCCAGATAACTGATGTGTTTATTCTGCAGGGACGAAGCAATGTCGTCAAGTCAAAAGGGAAAAAAAAACTACATTCTCTAAGTGATTAAAGGAAGAACCTTTCTGATTCCAATATTCAAAACACACCAGATAGTATCATATAGTAAATTATCAAACTGCCTTTTTCCAGTGAAGTTTTCAGTTTAAAGGCTCACTCCTTGGCATTCCAGACACTTGATTTCCACTCTCCCCACTCCCCGCCGCACCACTCACATGGAGGCACTGTTGCTGTGTTCTGTTGGGTCAGAACCGACCCACAGCTGGCCCTTTAGCAGGATTTCAGACAGTAAATTGCACAAAAAGAGACTGCTCATCTTTCTCCTATGGAGCAGTTTGTGGATTTGAACTCCATAACTTTGTGTTGGCAGCACAGGTCCTTACCAGTAGGCTACCAGAGCTCCCCAGAAACCCAGTTGTAGTAGATGCTAGATGATAGTGCGTTTCCTAGCACAACCAGGAGAAGGGAGATGTACTGGGTAACCGTACCTCTAGCTCGAGAGAATCTCCGTTTTTCAGCCATCGGTAGGAGGGTTTGGGCTTCCCACTCGCCCGGCATTCCCAGAACAGACTGTCCTCCACAGCTGCTTCCACATCTTTTATAGTCTGCACCCAGTGAGGCTTTGCTGCATGGAGACAACAAGCAAGCAAATAAAAAAAGCCATCCAGCTAAAAAAGAATAGTGGACACATGTGCTGGTCAGCAGTGGATAAAAGCTTAAAGCAATGGCTTAAATGCAGCATAAAGATGAAAATCTATTTCCCTCAGTATTTGCTGAGTTTGGGGTTGAGACTTAGGTGTGGCCGTTGCTCACAACTGGGTGTGAGCAGATTGGATTTGGCCTCATATTTAAAAAGGCATTTGGCCGCCAGTCTGGGGAGATGAGTAGAATAGCCGAATTCTGCAAAGGTATGTTTGGGGTTGAGACTTGGGTGTGGCCGTTGCTTGCACTGGGTGTAAGCTGACTGGATTTGGCCTCCTATTTTAAAAGGCATTTGGAAAAAGAAAAATGGAAAAAAGACATTTGGGTCCTCAGGCTGCTGATTTTGTGGTGTTCCTGAATAAAACAAGTTTGGAAGCAGGAGTGGCATCCACTTAAAAAAAAAAAAATAGTCCTTGCCTCTAGAAACTGAACTTGGAGAAAAGAGGAAAGTTTTGTGTTTAAGACTTTTGTTCATAGGATCACTATCGGTTGTCTTCAACTTGACGGCACTTAACAACAACAACATTTACAAAGTGGGTATATGAAACATGGCGTTTAATCCCATGGACTGTACAAAGGACAAGTATGTATTGGAAATAGTACAGCCAGAGTGCTCCTTGTAGGGAAGGCTGGTCTCGCATACTTTGGACTCATTACTAGAAGAGGTCAGTTCTTGGAAATGGACATCGTGCTTGGGAAGGCAGAGGTTCAGGGAAGGAAGGGAAGACCCTTAATAATGTGGACTGATTAATGAATGAACATAACGTTGGTTCTTGAGTAGTGGTGGGCTCAAGTGTGTCAGAGAGATGAAGATGTCACAGGATAGGGCAGGGTTCAGATCTATTGTTCATACAGTCGCTATGAGTCATTGTAGACTTGGTATGGTTAACAACATTATTTTAGCCATTTCTAGTTTGAAGAAGGAGGCTGTAATCTGTCATTAATTAAGATAGACTTATTAAGCTTTATTTTAAAAATTATTCAACTGTTAGTAGATAATTAAGTGTCCCTGAGTGTTCCAAATAGTTAGAATGCTGGTGGTTCAGATCCACTTAGAGATGCCACAGATGGTTCTGGTGAACTGCTTTGGAAAGGTCACACCCACAGAGCACATTTCTCCTCTGCCACCCACAGGGTCACCAGGAGTCACAATCGACTCCTTGATAACAGGTTCAAGATTTTAACAATTTTCTTCTCGTTTCTCTTTGGATAGAGGTAAACACATTTGATATTTATTTTCCAAGTGCATGCCTGAATCATAAGATCATGCCGATAATGAATTAATACATGAGTGACAGCAGGGAGAGTCTTAATTACACACAGAAAATTAACATCCAGAGAAGAGAAACTTCTACAGTGAAGGGAAAAAAAAAATATTTTCCTCAAGTTAGAAATAACTCTTAATTAAATACAAATGAGTGAGCATCTTATGAACCTCTGTGCAAATTAAAATGAAGGCAGAAAAGATGGATAAATTGGTTCCATTTGAATCATAATATGATTTTTTTAAACAAGAAAAACGAAATAAGCCAAGCAACTTTAAATTATGTATGCAAATCACTTTGATCAAGTGGAGTTATAATTTTCTCTTACGTTTCAGAAGATATTTAGAAAACTCTTTTTGCCGATGGAAGCAACATACTACTTACAATGGAAGTCATTCAATACACGGCACTCTCAGCCAAGTCTCAGCTTGCATTTTAGGTCCAACACTGGGAGGTGTGATGTCTTGGTGCTTTCACATTGCATTATGCATGTGATGTCTACTGTGGAATTTACATTTGCATCCCCCACGTGGAGACATAGTTTAGGTGTCTCTATTTAACTGCAACCAGGAGGAAGGTTTGTCTTTCCATTTCAATCTCAAGAAATTATCTTTTTTATAAACGAAACTGAAATGGAACTAAAGCAATTGAGCTTTTATAGAAAATGCATGATTTGTGCTTGCTTCTATTTTGCTTTTTAAAAAAGTAATTATGGAAATTACTTGTCCAATATGAAATGTAGTTCATTCCTAAATAATTTCTCTCTTTTTTATGTTAAAAGTTATTTTCTTTCAGAAATTATCAGCCACGAATGAAATGAGATTATCTTTGATTTTCAACTGTGTGGGTGATTCTCAATATTTCTAATAACTAAATAGAAATATATGTGCTCTGAGTTTAAGTGATAATTCCAGCAGTTCCTTTTTTTTAAACATTTTTAAGGGAGTTGAAAAACCAATTCTTAAGGAAAAAATTAGGAATATAATTTTCCTACAAACAAACTTTAAGTAAAGGTAACATTATTATCCTTTATTTACTTAATCTGTGTAGTACATGAAACAACTATAGTTGCAGATTAAAGGCAGCTAACAACGTAAAGACACATTATCAGAAGGGAGATAATCGTGGTGAAGAACTCGCAAAGAGCTTGTGTTGATTTGGTTTGTCTAATGTGAAAGAGGACCTCTGTCCTGAAGACAGAAGCTTTCTTTTTAGTAAGTGCCAAAGATTACACAATGCCACATTTTCTACAGGACAGAAGAACTCCCTTCCTACCGTGTTTAATAGTGTAAAACACTATCCTCGGGAGAAATGTAAAAAAAAAATTGAATATTGTAGGAATCATTTAAATAAATGCAAAAGGAAATGGTTTTAAGCTTTATATTCATTGTAGAATATTGTTTCTAATTTCTTGTACGATTTGATGTTTTGGTTTCTGATTAAGTAAACTTCCTCTTTAATTAAGGTCTAGAACAAAACAACCCAGACTGAGATTCAGACTGAAATTGTGGCATGCCATGTTCCCTGACCCCAAAAGCAATGGCAGTGAGATTTTCTAGAGGAAAGGCGAAGAAGACAGAAGTGACAGGTCTGCCCACCGAGGACGCTCACCATAGTAAGTCAGACGGCCCCTGGCAACGTTCTTCCCACGGGAATTCTCAGCGATGCACTCATAGGAACCTGTGTCTTCCTGCTGAAAACTGGGTATTTCAAGCACCCCGTTGAACTTCCTCAGTTTAATTTTACTGGGAAATGGCAGGCCATCACTTCTTCTCCAGTTAATCTGAGGCACAGGACTAAGAAAAAGAGTCAAGCCACTTACTTTTAGTGAACGGGTAACACTTTTTCTGGCTTGACAAAATGAAATTTTGGTGAGGACAACAAAAAACACAGGTTTCAAACACAGACCACCCCCAGTTGTCAACTATTGTAGAGTTTATCATTCAAAATATCGTTTCTGGCCCCTGAACTTGACTTTACCACGTGTGTGGGTGGGAGTATGCGAGTAGGGCATGTTAGCCTTCTCACAAAGGGACTGGCTCTCTTACCAATCCACAAGGGGGTTAAATGGAACAATCTAGCAGCAGAAAGAGACCTTTCGTGCCAGTGAAGAAGCGGCAGCAAGACAATGTAGCATATCCTGTGGGCCCAGAAATTCCTGCTCCAGTTACCCCGACCGCAGCTGCAGGACAGCCAAACCAAGAATCCACAGGAAAAGAGCTCCCTGGGACTGCTACCCCCACAGGCAGAACCAGAGCTAAGCTAAGTGCCTTTGCTCAAGTTTGTTGGACAATTCGGGGTTGGGGGCAATAATAGCAGGACTGATAACTTTGTTTCATAGGCCTAAAGCCACGAGGCTCAAGGCTGACATGCCTGCAAATGCATTTTGAAAGCTGTCCTGATCGAATGACTGTATTTGGCTACTAAGCTGAATTATATAGCCAGCCCTTTTGAGCTCCCTAATATGGTTCTGCGAGGTCTGTGAACGGTCACATTGGATTCTGGACCCAGCAAAGCAGTAAAACAGAAGTAGCAGCAAGAAGACAGGAGCATGTCTGACCTGGTGGAACTAGTTTTGTGTCCCTGATGCTATTAACAGGAACAGTTCCCTTCTGTAAAGTGGGGAAAGGTCAGACAGGACTATCCCCCTGTGATCCTTGCTCTTTTTAGAACTACACTGCCTGCATAAGCCTGATGCAAAGATCTCGTCTTTAAATTGATGTTCTAATAAAGAAATAGTGCAATTTCCTGTGTTAATTATGATTGGGGGGGAATGCAAAGGAAAAAAATAGCACTGATCTATTTTATGAAATTAAGAAGGCATAGTCATTTTCTTCAAATTACCTTTAAAGTTTAAAATTAAATTACATATGTGCATTTTTCCTGTGCTTTATTTTTTCTTTGCTTTAAATGAAAGTAAATTTTAATAAAGAAGGAAAAGGAAGAGAGGCTGTTAAAAACCATCTTGATCTCTTAGAGCAATCTGATATTTCTGCACACAGGAATAAATGTTATAAAACTTACTTTCCAAGGGCAAAACATTCCAATTTTACAGTTGATCCTTTAGCTGCTGGGAGAGTTTCTGGAAACTGAACTTCTATTTTGGGCTCATATTCACCCATCACACCTGTAAATACAGAAGATAATATGATTAGCCTCAGTGGTTCTTTTGCGTCTCAGTTTTCTTTAACAAAACACCCTTTTCCTCTGCCTTGAGCCAGCTCCTCCTGGCAGTTTAAGTGTCTCACTCACTACTGTAGAAGCACTTCTAACACAGTTCAAGCACACAGCCTTAAAACAGAATCTCAGAATTCGGGGTTCAGTGACCCAGAAGTGACGACTGGCAGGAGTGGTTCCGAGAAAGCGAGCGCACTTCTTCAATTACATCAAGTGGGAAGATTTTTTTTAAAAAAAGATGCTTTCTGCTGGAACATTCTAGTCAAACTAAAATACACAATGCCTTAGAACTCCTTGAAAGTTCCTAAAGAACAAAAATTATGCCAGAGAATTTACTTAATGGCTTTTTGGTGGCATAGACACCAAATTGAAGCATACTAAATTGTTTCCCAGAGGTGAGAAACAGTGAATTAAAACATGGAGACGGTCACGTTCAGCGAGAACTTCCTGGAAAATATGTTTAGTCACGTTGTGGCCTGGCTTTCTACTGCAGCAGACAGCTCAGTGGAAGTGGGTCACCCTCCAGGGCTGACAGACCTGCTGTCCCTGCAGACCCACGCTCTCCGCGGACACTGCCGGCAAAGGGGCAAAAGACTGCTTGTTTCTTAAGAGATGTTTCCAAACCGATCTTAAAAAAAAAAAAGGAAAAAAAAAAGCTCATGCTGACAAAGGTGACTTCAAGGGACTACACAGCCAGTGTCACACAGAGCAGGTGCACGGTTCAGGCTCTGCTGTCACCTTCTTGAAATTTTGGAGAGTGTCTGAACACAGTGACCTGAGTGTTCCTCTTATACGGGGTCTTGTGCAGCTGCTGTGGGTTAAGGAGCTACACTAACCCAAAGTCACTGGGTTCTAATCCACCAGCTACTCCACTGGAGAAATGCTGGGCAGTCTCCTCCCACGTGATTTACGGACCCTGAGACCGTAACAACCGTGGGGTAGGGGGCATCACTGGTGCTTGTGCCTTGGGTAAATTTTGTGAACTAAAATAAGAGGTTCTTAAAAATTCTGCATTTAGGGCAGGGAGATAATTGTGTGACAATGAATGAATATTTTCAAAAGAAAGTGAACTGGGGGAAGTAGAGGGGGTAAAATGCACAACAATGAGTGAATGAAAAAATCTAACTTTTCTGTAAACTTCTGTTAAAATCATAATTAAACAATTCTGTGTTACATCTGCATGTGTCTAGTGAAACTAAAGTACATAGTGTCTTTTTAGGACTCATGTCAGCCATTTCTACTCATATCTACTCTTTGTTTGAGGAAAAATTCCAAAGCTATGATATTTTTTTTAAGTGTGAGGACTGTGCCGTAAATCTTACAGATGTGCTGTTTTGCTTTGTCTCCTGTCTGTGTTTGAGTTGACAAGGTTCAGTGAGAACAGTACTCTGAAACCATTCATACCATCAGATCGCAGCACCAACGGGGTGGGTGAACCCAGAACTCGGGTGTTTGTCACCAGACTCCTGACCACGCACGTGTAATTCCCCACATCAGAGGGTTCCACTTTGGCTATGTAGAGGTGCCCTGTCTCCTGAGACACAAATCTCCGGCTGTCCTCTTCAACAAACGATGGGTACTCATTGAAGATCCACGCATAGGACAGTTCTAGTAAAATAAATCAAGAGGAAGAAATGTCATTGCTAAAGGAAACTTTCCACAGCATATAAAAAACAACAACAACAACAAACGCAACTCATAGGAATGCTATATAGTCATTGCCATGACTGGCGGGGGGCCCTGGTGGCATCAATGTTAAGCACTGGCCGTTAACTCAAAGATCAGCTGTTCCAACTTGCCAGCCAGTCTGAGGAGGAAAGGTGGCGTGGTCTGCTTCCACCCGTGACATGCGTCGAAGCCCCAGGGTGGCTCTGCTCTCTCCTGTGGGTCCGTATAGGTTGGAATCCACTCGGCAGAATTTCCCTTTGGCTGTCAGATGAGGAGAAACCAGGATGCAGGGACAAGTCATTCCCAGGCTCTTCTGTGTCCCCAAAGCCCTTGCTCAGAACAAGATACAGAGCTCCTGAGTCAGTCAAGTTCCTGACAGTAAAAGCAGCTAAGGTACTGGATTCCCAGAGCAGTGCTTCTGGCTGTGAGTGTAGACATGTCATGTGTGGGACGCTGGTAAACCAGTTAGGACGTCTTGCAGACACTCTGTACTCTTGACTTCACAGGGCATGGCCATACCATCGCTGTGTACTTCTGGGCTGTAGCCCCTACCCAGCAGCTGATACATGACCAGGTGCCATCACTGGGCTTTGCCTCATGGGCTCTAGTGTTTCAAAGAGAACTCCTGTGTCCTCAGGATTGACTACTTGGAAGATGATCACTGGGTCTTTCTTCTGAGGGGCCCCTGAGAGGACTTAAACGCTCAACCTTTTGGTTAGCAACCAGGCATCCTAGCTGTTTGTACCACTCAAGGACTTTTGTTAACATTGGAAAAAAACCTGGGAACAAATAAAGAAAAACCTAACTGTGAAGCCGACTCTTAACAGCAACGCTATAGATAGCATTTATACTATCAATCAATGCTGGGCATACGGAGGGACAGAGTCCTGATGGCTCAGTGGCTACGCACATGGCTGATTAACAAAGGCTGGCAGTTCGAGGCCTCTGTCAGGAGGAGGATGTGGCAGCAGCTTCTGTAAAGACTTCGTGTCTTGGAAACACTGGCATTGAGCTGTAGGGGCCACAGTGAGTTGAAATTAACTATCTGATAATTGGATGGATGTCTTACTAATCAGCTGCATGGCTTCCAGATCCTAAAAGTACACCGCCATTGTCTACACAGTGGCAAGAAACTGAACTGCAATTCCGAAGGCACACAGTTCGAATCCACCAGCTTCTCTGCAGGAGAAGAATTGGCAATCTCCTCCCGAGTTATTAACTGCTTCTGAAAAGCCACTGGAAAGTCTGCTATGGCATCTTCAACTCTACGGCATACAAAACCAACAACACATACGCACTGTAGGTTGTCCTTAGAGAACAAGATGCGTTATCTGCACAACATGGAAACAGGAACTCTGCCCCTATGAACAAAGCTAAGAGTGCTTGTGATTAAGGTCAATGCGAGCAGGTTTACTAAGAAGGAGTCCACGCCCCATCCTTTGATACGGTTGTTTAGATGCTGGACCACATTAGCTTGCCTCTTTATAAAATCACCTTTACTTCCAACTAATGTTTAAAGTATTTGTTGAAGACAATTACAAGCAACAGGTAAAATGAGTCCAAATCCATTCTACATTATTAACCAGGACAGTGTTGATGAACTTTCTTAAGGTACCATTTTTTGCCAAAAGAATTATAAAATGATATAAAAAAATTCAAAATAAATTTAGTGAGTGACAACTACTCAAAGTGTTTCTGTCACAATCCCAATGGTGAAAGATTTCTCTCTGATGAGAGGAGAGTCACTGGAAGTGACCACAGAGATGACAAGTACTCACCAGTAGGGTTGCTGGCCTTCCAGAGGAAAGAGAAGTCTTTCCTCATTGGAGGAACATGCCTTAAAGACAGGAGAACACTGAGACATGGAGAGATAAAGACACAGGGGAAGGAGGGAGCACAGATGAAGCCTGGGGGTGTAATATTTAAGTGTGTGCTGTCTAACTGGCTCAAGTTGGTCATTTGAAACTACCAGCTCTTCCTTGGGATAAAGCTACATACAGCACTCTACATCTGCAAAGACTTAGTCTTGGAACTCCTATGACACAATTCTAGTCAGTCTTCATAGGGTCACTATGTGTTGAAATTCACTGGACAGAACAGGCTTAGGTTTTTGATTGGGAGTAGAAATAAAATGTGGCAACTGATTCTCTTCCACTCTGCATGCAAATGCTACAAGTCTCTAAAGATTATCAAGTCTACAGCACATTGTCCAGACACTCTGAAATATTGATTTTGGACCTCAACCTGATCCTTCAATGCTATTGTGTTTGCAGAGTGTGTTTCATAAAATGCCAATAAGTCACATAAGAGGATGTGAAATCTAAAACAGTTTGTTAGATTCTAGGGGGCGGGGGATAGTTCTTAAACATCCAATACAGGGTTGGCTTGCTGGCTACTGTGATGGTGGTTTTCTCTTACATTATTATTGAATAAACCAAGGAGGAAAGGAAGCTTGTAAGAAGGTAGGAGCCATGTGTTCTGCATTTGCAGAAAGTGGCAGCTATTCAAGCAACATCTCTTCCGGGTCTGCCTGCTGCTGTAATCATCCGGTTCCACTCTCCACACTGACTCTGCCCTCCCAGCCCCATAACTGCACTTTGCTCTCAAGGAGGCAACCCCAATTTACTCTGCTTTCGGAGTGTTCCATAAATAAATTTAGTAAGCGTTAGTCAACTCCCTCTTTCTTTTACCCAGCCAGATTAAAATTTCCAAAGCTGCTCAATATATCAGACCTTAGCTGGGTGTTGGGAATAAGAAGTCAAGTTTATTAAACATTATCCTAAAATGAGAGCACTTGATGGGAATAATTCAGGACCAGTGTCAAAACATCTGAAATCTGGCAAAAGCAGAAGAGAGTATTTTATGGTAAGAGAACAAATGCATTAGAATGACATGAGGCAGTCTGGAATGAATATCATAAGCATACGGTTTAAAGATTCAGTTTAGAGAGTTTTTAATTGTAAATTTAAATTATTAATAATACACTGTTACTAAATTCCATCTGCCAATTCCCATGCCAGGATTAATACCCAATATAAGTTTTTCTGTTGTTAGGTGCTATCGAGTTGACTAGGACTCAATGGACTGGAAACTGGGTGTAACCTGATGCTTAATCATGCATGTCACAATCTCTGATATGCTTAGACCCATGGCTACAGTCTCTGTGACAATCCATCCTCGAGGGTCATCTGACCTTTCTTTGATCCTCCCCCATTCCCAGCGTGAAGTCTGTTTCCAAGGACTGATCTCTCCTGGCAATATTGTCAATACCATGATTGTTGTTGCTGTTGTTTGCTTTCGACTCCAGCACTACTCATAGGGACCCTATGAACAAAAGGCCTGAAGCCCCTCTACAACTATTGACATTTATCAAAGTGCATAGGGTTTCCGGAGGCCTGATGTTTAGCAAGTGGATGCCATTCGTGCTTCCAAAAGATGAGAACAGTTCGAAGTTTTCGACAATGATTTAATTTTACTTGGACCTTTAATCAACAAGCACGGTAGCAGCAGTCAAAAAGAAGGGGGGAAAAAAACACCACCAAAAACCCCAAACACATTACATGCGGAAAATCTGGTTTTGTCAAAAACCTCTCGAAAGTGCTAAAGAGCCAGGATGTCAGTTTAAAGACTAACATGAACCTGACTCAAGTCCTGGTATTTTCAGTTGTTTCACATGCATGTGAAAGCTGGCCAGTGGGTAAGGAAGAGCAAAAAACTGGGGAGCTGGTGAAGAGTACTGAATATCCCATAAACTTTCAAAAAAGCACACAAATCTGTCTTAGAGGGAGGTCTAATCAGGGTGATCCTTAGACACAAGGATGGGAAATCTTCATCTCGAACGACCTGACCATGTTGTTATAAGGCTCCAGTTCTTAGAAAAAGGTACTAGATTGAGAAAGGCAAAGGAGAAACAAAAAGTGAAGATGAGCCTTGGCAAGATGGACTGACCCCATGATGGGTTAACCAGGCCTGGGCACGGAGGAGCTCACGTGGGTACTGGGAGGCAGATTAGTGACTGTTTTTTTAGAAAGACTCAGATCATTACATTTTTATGAACAGAATTTAGTCTACATTTGGCAAGCTATATATACACACCCTAATAAGAGGTGGATTGATTCAGTGACTGGGATAATCGAGATGGGAGTGTCAGAGACAGTGTGATTGGCACAGGACAGAGCAGGGTTTAGGGCTGTTGTACATAGGGTCGCTATGAGTCGCAAGCGACTCGACAGCACATAACAACAAGAGGTATATAGACATCTGCAGCACCTGTATCCTTCAAATCTTTCTGACTTGTATGTATTAGAAGATTTCCACTAACTTTCCATCTATTGCCTGCTTTAGGTGTGAAAATGTATATGGCATGACTCTGAACATGTTTGAGAACGTTATGATTTACTGAAGGTAAATAAAGCACAAGATATTTGTGCTTTATTTTTAGTTATCATAAAAATCAGAGTTTAGTTATCATAAAAATCTACATTTGCAATAAATGTTAATTGTTATCCCACCTTAGAATACATATATCAGATTTGTACTCTGTAGATATTAAACATCATTTTATGTATACTGAAAAATAAAATGATACTTCCATATACTCTAACAAGCTAGGTTTCATAAAAACTCTCACCACCTCTGTATAAATCACAGACACATTATGCAAAAACTACTTGGTCACTGTGATTTCTATTAACAATGCTGTATGAATATCAGGACTGTGAAATATTTTTTAGAGGAAAGAGATTTCACCAATAAAAGCCATAAATTAAGAAAATGAAATAGTGAAACTCCACTTTCTCCAAAATAATATGTGATGAATGACCTCAGCTCTCCAGGCACATTCCTTCCAGGGTCACTTAAGCATAAGGCTAGTCAATTTCCCATGAAATATGTCACTCGAGTGTTTACCTGGAGATACATTAATACACACATTACTGACA